CTGCAGCGACTCAGCCGGTTCAGGTACATCGAGACACAGTATACTATGATCCAAGCGCGTGTGCATTTATGATTAGATAATGATGTGTACTTTTTTAAAAATTTAGCCTTTATGATATCTCAGTTCAACATATATTATCCTTAATGTATTAACAAAAGAATTCTGATTAGCAAACAATTCATAAGTTTTTGATTAGTGAATATATTTTTGAAATTATTTTATAATATTGTTATTAAGTTAAAAAGAGATGGGGAAATACTGAACAAATGAATTGAATATTAGTAAACATTATTGAAAAGGTAATCTTGAGAAATTCTTTTATAATTCTGTTCTTTCTATTACATAAGTGTCGCAGAATAACCACGACAACGCTCGTGAGCTGATAAAGCACAGTAAGCCGAACTGAAAAGTCCTTTACTGTTTTGCAATATTCGTAATAATTGTAGAAAATTAATTTAAAAAAATTAGCGAATAAACGCGCATTTTGCGTCACTTGACTGTGAGATGTATGATCTAGGCATGCGTTCTTAGGCGATCTTAGGCGTGCCAGTAGCGAGTGTTACATGGCAAGGAAAAGTAAAGCTACCCGCGTGTTACTTTTGTTTAACGGATTAACTAAATATTTCATTGCCGTGTGATGCTTGCCACACTCAAAAAAATATTTCGCTGATGTAGTTAGATTTCTAGATATCGCAACAAGAATGTATCGCTATTTTTCGTATCTGTGAAAACATTGTTTGTCACATATAGAATTTATAGCAGTAATGTTCTAGCAATAGCTTCTGAAAAATTTAGGTACCATTGCTAAATGTTATTCATTGCATGATCTAACACGTGATTGATCTTATATAGATAGGCGCTTTAGAGAAACTTTCTTTTTAAAGTTCACAAATAATACAGATATATATTCTGTTTCTGTCATCTAAACTGATTAAGTAATTACATATGCAATATCACAACAGTTGCTAAACATTTATCTGTTTTAGTTAATTTTTTACACCTAGAAAATTTTAGCTATTATTGCAAAATCATTTTTTTGAGTGCATTATCACGCCTAGAGTGTATCTCTTATGGTCTCGTCGCGCGAAACGCATGCTCATTTGCTAATCTGTTTTAATTAATTTCTCCATAATGATTACAATATTGCAAAACGGTGAAGGACTTCTCAATTCGGCTTACTGTGCTCTCAAAATCACTTAAACGATTCTCGCCCAGCTAAGGGTGGGTTCCGACGCTTGTATCGGATCGTACTTTTTTGCATGTCGTATGAGGGCCTCAGAACTTTCTGTATGCCAAAGAAGAAGAGCGACAAGTTATTTTTTGCTAAGCGAGAATTTTTTAGGCACTCTGGGGTGGTTTTTTGAGTATAAGAGTGTCTTCCGACGCATGTATCAAATCAGTCTTTTTTGTATGTCATGTGAGGGCCTCAGAACTTCCTCTATGCAAAAGGAGAAGAGCAACAAATCATTTTTAGCTTGGCGAGAATCGTTTAAGTGATTTTGGGGGTGGTTTTTCGGGTATAAGGGTGTCTTTCGACGCATGTATCGGATCGGTCTCTTTTGTACTTTGTTTGTTAGTCTCGAAACTTCCTCCCTGCAAAAGGACAAGAGCGACAAATCATTTTTAAAAAATCGCTCCAGGAACGTTTCAAACTTCAACCAGCTCGGGAAATTGCATTTTTTATGGTCTTTTTTCAATTTTTCCGTACTTTTCCCGCTGTCTAGAGGAAAACGGACTTTATTACGTAATTCTACGGTATAAAATTTATAAGAAACCATTTGTAGTTTTGGTTCCACACCATGGGCCAAAATCGACCTATTTTTAAAACATTCTCCTTTAATTGTTCGATTGGATTAACTATTTTTAAGATTTTCATACGAAAAAATGGATAGAATTCAAAAATATTTTGTAAAAATGTTTTATTTTATTAATATTTTACAAGTTATATACAACTGTACGAAAATGTTATTATCAGAAAAAAAAGAAAACAAAAAATTAAAAAAATTTACTTTTTTACATTTTTGAACATAATCAATATTTGAATATTAACAGCTAACAGCTAATTTGATCGGTTTAGAGATTACAAAGCACGATAAACAAAGTACTCTCAAACAGTCGGTTCGCGTGTAATTACACGCCGGTTCGCCTTGCTGTTCGCTTTTTGAAAAATGGGTTGTTAATTATACATTCAGTTTCAAAATCAAATAATTCCAAATATCTCAAATGCTTCTTTTTGAAATATTAGAGTACTAGAGTTCCTGATAAATAAAAAACATTTTTGGTATTGCATAAATTGTTTTTAATTTTGATAAAACAAAAAAACTTTTAAAAATTAATTTTAATTAGTTCTAGTTCTAAATTACAATATTTCTACGTATTTTTAAAAGTTTTTTATAATTTATATAACAAAAGTTTAAAAGCATAACATTAAAAAAAAATTATGTTTCATAACAAAATTTTTAAGTATCGACAAAATTTATATTTAAGAGATCCAGTAGTTCTGGACAGCAGTAGCAGTTTTGGACAGCATTTTGATAATTATAAGGTTTGTTATTGTTATTAGGGATCAAAACAATTCAATAAATAAATAAAAAGATATTTGATCCTAAACAATGTTGCTGTGACATTTTTCAAAGTATTAGGAGTATGCAAAAGTTTCGTTCATGTATAAATAGCATTATGAGCTATTTTAATGAAATTTGCGGCGTTCTTTTGTTTTATTATTTCAATGTTGGTTAACTTAGATAATAAGAAGTGATGCCTGAGCTATATTCATCGATATAATCATATTTTTAATTTGTGCGAAAATGGAAATCGATCAAATGTATATTCGATCTTTCCCTATTTAATCAGTGCAAAACAGCTGCTGAAGCGACTAAAATAATTTGCGAAACGGGTATGGTAAGGGGATAGTAACCGAGAGTTCATGTAGCATGTTGGTTTTGATACTTTAAAAGTGGTGATTTTTATTAGAAAGACAAGAAGCGGTTAGACCCCATGTTGCATTTGCGACTCAGAAAACTTTAATGGAGCTTGCAATAGGAAGTCTTGCCATACCCGGCGTACTCTTCAGATATTGCCTCATCGGATTTCCATCTGTTTCGATTCATGCAGCAATCTTTTTGGCACACAGTTTCGCAATGTTGCAAAAGTGCGACAATTCGTTGATGATTTTATTCACTTTAAAAGTAGAGACTTTTTTTTATCGCAGTATTCATCTTTTACCTTTTAATAAATAATGTTGGAAAATATTTTGATTAAAAATATTACATCATTTATGAGACATTAAAAAAGAAAATTGCCTTAAAAATGACTTTTGTATACCTCTAATAAATCAATAAAAATTTTTTTTAAGAGTTTCAGTAATTCTAGCAGAAATCTTGAATAGCATTTTAAAAATGATGAAGATTATATTAGGTGCCAAAGTAATCCAATCAACAATTGAAAAGATATTTGAATTTTTATCGATACTTGAAATAATTTTGTTGTAAAATCACACATACAATCAATTTATCATAATAAATAACAATTTATCCGATAACTAACTATTTATTCAGTTCATCCAGTAACTATTTTAGCTACTCTACAACAATCAAAATCTATCAAAATCGTAGAGAAACAACTCCATTACTTTTTTTGTTAGTGTTTCTGATATTTTTACGTCTTGAAAAACTTTTCATCGTGTTATTTCTCTTTCAATTTATTAATACAAGAGATAAAACTATTTTTCTCGGCGAACATGTAGAACGACGCGCAAAATAAAATGGCATTGTAATTTTTACATGCAGACTTTTTGCTGCGACAGCGAAGACAGCGCCGCACACGCGTGCGTTTTTGCTTCTCGTCGCAACCGGTGTAATGTTCCGGATATTTAATTTCAGATAATCGCGTTCTCACGCGAAACTGCTAATTTAAGGACCATTTTATCTTTATTATATAACCGTTTACATGTGCGAATAATATGGTTGTTTTTTGCGTCACTCGCTCGGCGTTTATATCATTTGATTACTTATATGATCAATGTTTGATTAGACGAAATTGCGGTCCTGCCATCGCCCTAAATGAGGACCAATTAACACTTCAGACTTCCGACCTTGAAGTTGTCAGAGAAGAATTTGTGTTGCTCGGTTACAAATTTCTCGTATGATATAATTCTATAAGAAAGTATTATTCAAATTTTGATTAATATCAATTATCAAGTACATAATGCATTTTTTGAAATAAGTAAAAAAGAAATGATTGAGTTGTAATACATTTTCAAGTATAACTCTATTTATAAGTCTCTTGCTTGTGCGATGAGCATCTATATAAAATACAAACATGTATCGATTATACCTCGAGACGCGATAGTAAAGATCGCGTGTCCAACGCGCTATTCAACGCATGAATAACGCATGGCACGCGTGAACGACGATATCGCTGCGGTTGGCGAACATCGTGACATCAACTCGTCGAATTTCGTCATGCGTCCACGTTCAAGTCGACTTACGTACAGTAGGCCAAACTTATTGTTAGACGTCCGCCATTTCTGGCGAAGCACTGCATGTCGCATGATACCAATTTAGGCGAGGGACGACACAAAAATCATCAAGTTTACGTTTTAATAGTTATGTCTGTTTTATAATAATTCAGAGTGAGACAGCGATTTCGTTTTTTTCGACATAAAGTAAAATAGAGGATGGTTCTAATAAATCTAAAAATAGTAATAGATAAAGTACAGCAAATTGATTAAGATCGAAGTATTTTTAGGACATCTGCGGATGTGCAGTCATGAAGATAATTGTTTTGAAATTCTAAAATAATAAATTTTATACCTTACAATCTTGTTGAATGAGCAATTGGCAAGAATCGGTTAGTTGTCGAGCGATGACCTCTATCGTAAGCTTCAGAAGACGGCGGCGACGGGAACAACAGCAGCGACGGCAGCGGTGAAGACTGCGATGAAGGCAACGGCATGGAGGTGGAAAGCCGTCGCCGAGGCGTGATTTCTGGGCGGCAGTTGGCGGTGATCTTTCGAACGGGTTGTGCACGTATGTGGACGTTGCGAGAGAACGGCGTGCTCTGAAATTCGCGCATAGACCTGAATTCAGGAATGAGGTAACTATCGGCAACGAGGCTTGGCTTCGCAATACACAGAGACTTACGAGCTTAGCAACTTGGTACGTGAGTGTTTCATTCTCCAGATCGATTCTTCGATTTTTGCCTGTCTCGTGGCAACGCCACGAAAATGACGTATGCGTTGGATTTTCCCGCGCTATGTTGGAATTATTTTGGAATTATTATTTATACGCAAAACGTTATCGTCGGAAGGGTGAAAAATTTGCGAAAAAATAAAACTACAAAATGAAAAAAAAGATAATGTGCTAGGAAAAAAATGTTACAATTGCGTCAGTAAAGCGGGAAAAATAAAAATAATGGACGCAAGTAAAAGTCCATTTGTAAAAGTGAACGATTATTAGTAGAAATGGATGTTTTAAACATTTAAAAAAAATAAAAGTTTACTTTTCATTTTCTATGCGCCATTTTTTATGCACTATGGGATAAATTCATTAGATGATTATAGGCTTTATAATATTGCATTACATATGTTCTATGGTGTCATAATATCATATATTAATGTTAATGCCATCATTATTACTGTTATTACTACAACATCATATATAATAACTATAACCATTAATAATTACCATTATCATGAATGTTATCACTATTACATAACGTTTTGCCACTATTAATTGGAAGATGTAATCAATTGGCGATTAATCTTATCTTGAGCGATTTCATGATTGCTAGTAAAGTGAGTCACACATGAGGATTTCCTTGGCTGAAATCCAACTCTGCACCGGAAGAGAAACCACGTGGAGTTGTATAGACGCGACTTGTATGGCCATGGCGTCTTTATCGCACGCTAGTATATACGCATGATGTAACTGCTTGCCAATATTTCGGATGAGCGCCGATTCGTGTCGAGTCATTCACGCGCGCGCCTTTCTTGCCTTTTCCACGGCGGATGAGAGCCTTATCGCCATAAAGTTCGCGAAACATAATAAACAAACACAAGTGTGTAAACCAGATGTGATCAGACAAGAAAAGTAGCTTGGCTTTTGAAGCAAGTAATAATAACTTTTAGAGCGGATAGTAAATAATTTGGATTAACTTCTCTTGTCTTAATATGTCGTCAATTTCCTTTATTATGGTTTCGTGAAAAATCACAGCTTTGCTCAAAAAGTAAATCGTTTCAGACAGTAAGGAATTCTCAAATGTTTACTCCAATATTTGCAGTTGTCATAATGTACATAATGTGTTAACACATTCTTTTTTACGTGTGAAATATTACACTAGTAACTGCGAACTATTTTCAATGCCTGTTTAATGTAATGATTCGAAGACATGTCAAAAAAACTGCCAAGATTGAAATATCTTGCAATTCTAGAATCGGTATTATTTTCCTATGTCAAGAAATTGGATTCTATGCTGCATTAAATTGTACGTGTAACTATGCCTTTAGTACTTAGCTGGTCTTTCGTATCTTAGAAATGTCATCAAGTAGGCATTCATCGTATGCTGGCGTCGTATATTTAGCGGCACCCAGGTACGTTTAGCATATTCTTAGGTAGTCCACGTCTAGATGTTCTGGATCTTAACGTTTTGATATATTATTTATTTTGAATATATTGAATATTCCCGAATGTAAACTTAATTGTAAATTTGAGATTTTATCGTATAGCAAAGAAAAAAAATAATTGACTAAAGATAAGTAATAGTTTAGTATTTCGTTAATCATTTTCTTATCTTATTTTGTTATAAGAAGTGCGCTCGTGTTAGCCACGTGCTATTTATTTGTAAATAGTCTCATATTCGAAATTATTAAAATTTGGTGATTTATATTTTGGTAAAATCGAAAGCGATGCTTTTTCAATTCATGAGAATGCAATTCTAAGCGAAATGATAAGTTATGATAAGGTGAATAGATAGTTACCATGTCAACGTTTATTCAACGACACTATTCGCAAATTGATGCTGTTCTGTTAACCTACCGAGCAATTCCTTATCGTAACGCGCTTTCCAGCGTATCATTTTCATGATAAAGCATTATTTTTACGCAGCGATTATATGAAATGTTTTGTTTATGAATAACTTTATCAATCTTCATTCTTAATAATTTAAAATACAAAATGTATTCTGTGTATATTGTTTCAATTATAAGTTTTTTAGCCAAATATGTAAATTGTTCATTATCTGTGATATTTTAATATATCGCATACCTTTATTTTAATTTAAAATAAATATGTAACATGAAATATATAAGCGTGACGTGAGCGCGGTAATACTATGCGATAAATATGACCTTAAGTTTTTTGCGGTCTTATAATACATAACGAGTGTGTCATATTTCTTGTAGCCGAACAATTAACGTATATAGGATAGATGAAAAGCTTCACTTGCAACTTTAAAAAAAGCTTTCTTTTTTTTATACATTAAATTAATATCCTCTTTTAACGAAAAAAGACTAATGCATATATTAATCCTTAATTTAGCAAAGCATTTAGTTTCAAAATGTATGCGAAATTTTCGTTTTCGCGAGATCAAGTTATTTGAAAAGAAGTCGGATCGGTTTTGATCGTAATAGACGCAGGATTAATCATGATTAATAATAACTCAAGCTTTAGGTTTAATGACCGACTTAGTAATTGTCACGGCGCGGCAGATAAAAGAATCAACTACCGACACGTTAATTGAGTAAATTAATTATGCCGACTCCATCAATTATTTATAATTGTATTTTCGTTCATTGAGTGCTTTGCTTCATTAAGTCAAACAACTGTTCTTATTTTCTAATTGGCTGCTATGCAGCACATGTAATCAAATCACGAATCTCGTTCTGTGGCCACTTCGCTTACTTTGTCGCGAAAGGCTAAAGTTCTAACAATTTTTTGCATTTATCTTCTGTTATCTGGCGTTTGATTATCTCGCGAGTTTAAGTGCCACTATGTGTAGAGTCGACTATGTAGGAATACTGTCTCATTATTTATAAGCGGTACAAACATACAGAGTGTGTTGACGTCAATTATAATGACGTTCGCTAATTGATGCCTGCTTCAATGGTGGGTGGTGGGTGTTTATAACTGACCTCGAATCAGCAGCAAAATAAATGGTTTTTCTTTTACAACGTTTCGATATCCTTTCGAATCGACTACTCGTGTAGACTAATTGTAAGTCTCTGGCTTCATCTCGACTTTCAAAATAGAACATTAGGCAGTGCAGACGTTGACGGTTAATGAGCCGTTCATCCATCTGTCACTATTTTCCTCCTTAATCTTCAATGTTAATCTTCAACAGCTGGAAACTAATGCCGCGATCAACGGTCGAATATCATTAGCACACTATTGTCACAAATTCAAATTACAAACACGCGGATTAAGGAGCGTCTCTGTCAGAAAGATGTAATTTTAAGGCAAAGAATGTCATCAACTCGCTTCAACACCGCGATGCGAAATTTTATGCTTTATACTATAATTATATGCGCATTTTTTTTTTCAAATTTTGTACTACATTCTGTTATCTATTCATTATCACTCTTGAGTTGTTCGATATTTAAGTAACAGAATATTTAAAAAACGCAGAAAATAGACTTTTTAACTGCATTTTTAGGGCTTAGTGCAAGTCTCAAAATTAAAACAAAAACTGACATGATTTCTTTAACACATCTTTTTATTTTCCATATTTTATAATAATAATTAAAATGCTTGATTATTGCGCTTATCTCGTACAATATGCGCCAGTGTTTACTTGTTCAAACAAGGTCGAGATTGTGAACCCGGAAGTGCCAAGAGTTAATGTTCTTTTCCTCGACGTTATACGTATAACGCAATCTTATCCAGTGTGATTGAATTGCGTCAATACGCGTGAGTGATCTTATGCCCTAATATCGTAACTCAGTCATTATAAGAATCATACAGTAAACAGAAATATGTAGTATAGAAGTGCGGAAAATATAAATATTATTATTATAAATATAATTATTATTATAAATATAATTATTATTTATTTAAAATTTTTCTCTTTTTAATATATTCTCTATTTTATATTTGTGTTATTATACATGAATAAAAAGATTATTTTTTTTATATTACTTCATATTATTTTAATATTTTTCAATAAGAGGGGAAGAGGGAGAGATGGAGAAAGGGAGGATAGGAAAGGAAGAGAGAGGGTGAGAGAGGGGGTGGAGAGAGAGAGGGGGGTAGTCATTTTTATGGCGTTTTAGTATCTGTACGACATTACGTTTTTTACATCCCAAAACGGATATAAAGAGTTGAAGGTCAGAAAACAAGAATTTGCATAATAAAGTGAGTCAGTTTTTGTACAAATATTGAGAGAGTTTTAAATATCAATTTACTGAAATTATATCAGAATATGCGAGCGAATAGAAAATGATTTTCTTGTTATAAATACCCGGCACTTTTCTAAATTTCTTTGTATTTGTTGCTAAAATACAAAAGTATGATAAAAAAGTTTGATTTAATGTATTTTGTACGTTTTTTTTTAGGTGACGGTTAGATAACGTATCAATAAACAAGCCACGATGGTAAGTTACAATGACATATTTTATTTTCGTTATTTGAGTGCGTTTATTGTTACTCAGTATTTTTGCATCATAATTATTTTGCGCAATTCGTTTGCATTATTGCTGTCGCAAATTACAATTAAAGTATATTATGTTATTTTCTCCTATTTTTTTATGTAGACTGATGATAAAACACCAACAGAATTAGACACCTTTCTACCTAACGATGGATCCAATCTTAAAGATGGCGTCTTATCCGCCAAGTAAGATTCGAATTTATTTCATTTGAATACATATAACTAATCCAAAATGCAAATTATAGTAATGAATTATTATAAATTTTTTAAATATTGCAGATACATAGTACAAGTCGCTCCGAGTCGTGATGTTGAGGGTGGATTAGGCGATGAAAAGACTTTTGATCCCTTTGCAGAACGCAAAATTGATAATCCGACAACGTAAGGACTAATATCTTTTTTAATAATAAATGTAACATGATTGTTTTGTTATTTTTATATGCTATATTTGAAGCTATAGGACTAATATGTCTATAGGGCTCTTGCATATCATAATTTAAATTATATAATAATTTTGAATAATAATAGAAAACAACAGTTTCATATCTTATGCTTTAAATTTTATCAAATAGAAAGCGCAATCAAAAAAATTATATACTACTTTTACATGATAAACATATAAGATTTACATTACGAGTAGACATAATATAATAATAATATTATATTACAAAGTAAGCGTAGTTATTTCATCTTTTCGATAATGTGTACAGTTCAATAATATGATTTTGCTTGTTAATGAATTAACTTTCAACAAATTGAAATATAAATTACATTTGTAACTTTATTTTGGCTGTAGCTTTTTGACAATCTGGAAAACGCAAATGTGTAATCAATGTAATAATTATACTTTCAGAGATTGCGATACATTAACGCATTTATTGAAAGCCTCTCTCGGTACTGGTATACTGGCTATGCCCATAGCTTTTAAAAATGCCGGATTGCTTGTGGGTGTCTTCGCCACGATACTCGTCGCGTTCGTATGCACGCATTGCGCATACATTCTGGTGAGTTTATGAAAATAATAATCCGTATTTTTACACTAGAAAAAGTTATTGTTAAAGATAGCTTTGTTTGTTTTTCAATTAAATAATTTAATTAAGTAATATCTGATTGATCAGTATCCTCGTTTTCTACAGATTAAATGTTCGCACGTGCTCTACTATAAAACTCGAAAGACGGAAATGGGATTTGCGGATGTAGCCGAGGCGGCTTTCAGTATTGGGCCTCAATGGGCGAGAAAGTTTGCGACACCTTCCAGGTATTAGCTTTAAATCTACCAAATTTGTTTCTAGAGCATATCCTAACATCTATTTTCTTTTATCAAAAGTGATTTTTTCAATTAAGTTATTTAAATATAAATTGTTTTTGTTTATAGATACCTTATTCAAATCAGTTTGTTCGCCACGTATTTCGGCACTTGCAGTGTATATGCGGTGATCGTGGCCGCTAACATTAAACAGATTATAGAACATTATCAAGATGCTGATGCTGGTGAATACAACATTCGATTGATCACCGCCTATTTGCTGTTGCCTTTGATTGCACTCAGTTGGGTGCCCGACTTGAAGTATCTTGCACCAGTTTCAATGGTGGCAAACATTTTTATGGGAACAGGGTTAGGAATAACGTTCTATTATCTCGTTTGGGATTTGCCACCATTGACCTCGGTGCCTTTAGTAGCATCGATTGAGAATTTTCCACAGTTCTTCAGCATCACCATCTTCGCTATGGAAGCGATCGGTGTGGTAATGCCTCTGGAGAATAATATGAAGACACCGCAACACTTTGTGGGAATTTGCGGTGTTCTCAATAAAGGAATGTCAGGAGTTACACTTATATACATTTTCCTTGGTTTTCTCGGTTATGTAAAGTATCAAGATGCAACGCTGGGTAGTATCACTCTGAATTTACCGACGGAAGAAATGTAAGAGTTTAAAATTATAATAGAGAAGTACAATTTATATAACGTATAGTGTTCGATTTCCTATAACGGATTGTGATTAATTTTTTTCACAGACCAGCACAAGTTGTCAAAATACTAATAGCCCTTGCCGTGTTCTGCACCTTTGGTTTGCAGTTCTACGTATGCCTCGACATCGCGTGGAATGGTCTGAAACATCGCTTCGAGAAGAAACCACTTTTAGCTAATTACATCATGAGAACGGTACTAGTAACTGGTGCAGGTATGTTTAGAGAAATATTGTATGTATGTATGTAATATTTTATCGTTTTCTTAAAGGGTTTACAATTTCTTTCTTACATCTATCTTACGTTTAGCTTACATCTACTTTACGTCTTCTTTATATGTATCTTAGCTAATTTTAATTATAGTTGATAGTGTGTGTGCTTATGTATACACGGAGAAAATTTTATATAAAAAAATTACTGTGTACGGCAGTGACCGCAGACCATAAAGGAATTATAAAAATTTTTACTATACAGAGAAAATTTTATATCAAAAATTACTATGTACGGTAGTAGCCGCGGACCATGAAGGAATTATAAAAATTTTTACTGTGTTTTTCACATGTGAAACATAGTAAAAATTTTCGGTCCGCGACTTCATGGTCCGCGGTTAATGCCGTACATAGTAATTTTTGATATAAAATTTTCTCCGTGTATGTTTTTCACATGTGAAACATATAGTAAAAATTTTCAATCCGCGGCTAGTCATACATAGTAATTTTTAATATAAAATTTTCTCCGTGTATATAAATCTTGTCCACATTTGTATAATTTTCAGTTTTTTTTTCTTTCTTTTTCCACTCTCCTATTGCCATTCCGTTTTCTTGTCTCATTCTTTTGTCATTCTCTCTTTTCTCACTCGTATATTACATATCTTTCCCTCTTCCTCTCTACTCCCCTCTTTCATCCACTCACTCGCCCTTTTTCCCTTTTCGCCTTTCCTATATAATTCCTTGATTATATTATCTCCTCTTTTCTCCTGCATAGTATTTCCTTTCCTCCTCACTCACCCAATACTCCCTTCCTCCTCTCATTGCGTTTCCTAGTTTGAACTTTGCTATCCTCTTCATCTTCTTGCTTTTACTTTTTGTCTTTAAGTACTTTATGGTGGTACTTTACTTTTTTGGTGGTCTTGTCGTTCTCATCTTTTTATATTAGTAAATTAATTCGGTGTCGTTTTTGCGAAATTAAAAATTTCGGAAAAAAATCGCTTCACAGGTTACTCCAACTGCTCAGCAAGCTCTTTTTGAATTTATGCGAAATCTTGGTTGAATAGCAACCGCAATTTCCTTATCTTCAAATTTTTTTATTGATTAATGGTTTATCATTTAAATTATATAAATTATAAATAGTTTCTATTATAATATCTTTGATACTATTTCCTGCATGTTTTGTGGGATACTGCATCTTCTCAAGAGCAATATAAATCATATCAATAATTTCAGTAATATTTTTTTTAAATAGAAAGACAGAAAGAATACAGTGCTTGCTTTGCTATGCGTGCTATGCGTTTTATCTATGGCCATCGTACTTATTGTTGGTTTTTGAGCTTATGTTGTTTATTTTGCAATATTAATTGGTTTAGTACACGGAGAAAATTTTATATAAAAAATTACTATGTACAACAGTAGCCGCGGACTATGAAGGAATTATAAAAATTTTTACTATGTTTTTCACATGTAAAATAATAAAAATTTTCGATCCGCAGCTTTATAAAATTTTCGTGTAAGCATAGTTGGCAGTCTTTTAAAATTGCATTGCAGGAAAATATACAAGGTGTCTGATAATAATCACGCCTGTCTGCGGATAGAGGAGAGTAAATCGAATAGAAAAGTTCTTTACCGTTTTGCAAATTTTGCAATAATTGTTGAGATATTAATTAAAAATGTTTGGCGAATGAGCATGGAATGTGCGCTTTAGGCGTGCCAGCGACAAGTGTCGCACACTGAGAAAAATGGTCTGTTTGATTTAACAAACCGTCTATTAGATTTTGGACGAAACAGACAGATTCTGGTTAAATCCACCAGAATTCCTATTAATGTAATAAAAACATTTTTCTCAGTGCATGATAACAAAAACAGTTTGGTCGGTCAGCGAAGACCGGGTGAAGACAAAAGTAACACGCGAGCAACAAGCAGACAGAAACTTTACTTTTTATTACCGTGCGACATTTGCCGTTGGTACGTCTAGCACACGTTTAGAGCATAAATCTCACAGTTTAGCCACGCAAAACGTGCACTTATTCGCCAAACATTTTTAATTAATATCTCAATAATTATTTTAAAATTTGCAAAACGGTAAAAAAACATTTCTGTTCACTTTACTCTCTTCTACCCTCTTACAAGCGGGTTATTAATGTATAAATATGCAGCAATATGTTGCAAATTGCATACTTTTTCTTAAAAACAACCATGCATTTTTTTTGTACCAATCGATTTGTCTCATAATTCTGCGCGTAAAAGTATTATGGTAAGATTATAGAAAATTAAATATTTTACGAGATGTTTTGTATCAAAATATATCAGATTAAGATATAAAATATCTCGTAAACCGTTCCATTGTTGCTTATTTTACTTATAACTTTTTATGCAAATTGTTACAAGGAATCTATTGTATTTACATAAAACAATTAGAGTGGTTCCATTTAAAAAAATTAAGTTGCCCTCCAAATCTGCGAAATGTCTTTATCTGGAAAAATTTTGTTAGATTCATTTTATGTCCTTCTTTAAACCCTGCAACTTTTGTCTGAAACATTTTTTTCTACAATCACATTTTTTCAAAATATTTGCATGTTAAGATTAAAATGAATCACTCTGTATATATATATATTGTTGAATGGCGAATTATAATATTGACGTAATGTTATTGTTAGTCGATATGTTTAGTCGATAACAGTCCTTTCCAAATAAAATAATTAAAATAATAAAAATACATTTAATTTAACCTCATTGAAGAATTGTAGGTAGGGAAAAGGAAGTAAAAGATTATTATTTTAGAAACATAATAAACATGCATATATATATAATAATAATCTTTTACTTCCTTTTCCCTACCTACAATTCTTCAATGAGGTTAAATTAAATGTATTTTTATTATTTTAATTATTTTATTTGGAAAGGACTGTTATCGACTAAACATATCGACTAACAATAACATTACGTCAATATTATAATTCGCCATTCAACAATATATATATTCTCTTCTATCTGTTGTATCTCTCTATCTCTATTCTCTAACTCATTCTCTTTATCTATCCTTCCTATCCTCTTTTTTTTCTGCCGTATATTCTCTTTCTTGAACAGATAGACTATATTTTTGAAGTATCTCTTTTGGAGGCATTGCGATTTTTGATGATATCTACTTATGAAATAACTATGTGCGTTGCAGTTCTTCTCGCCGTGGCAGTACCAACGATTGAACCGTTCATCGGCCTGATCGGTGCATTTTGTTTTTCCATTTTGGGCCTCCTCATTCCGGTCTTCATTGAGACTGTAACTTATTGGGATATCGGCTTCGGATTAGGGAATTGGGTGGCTCTGAAGAATATAATTATATGCGTTATAGGCCTGATGGCGCTATTATTTGGATCACGCAGTGCAATAATGGACATAGTGAAATTGTATGCTTGATTAAAAAATATTATTTCTGTTTTTATTTAGCGCAAATTTTATTTTGGCGAGTGTATTTTTTTTACTATAATTTTAGATCTGCTCTTAATACAGTTAATGATATTTTAAAATAAATCAAACATGACTTTACGCTCGCGGGCGGGTGTCATTAAACTTGTGGGCAGGATCGCAATTTAAAGTTGTATACATTAGAGATTTCTTATACATGTTGAGATTTTTTCATATTTAAAATTTGGAGATAAATGTTAGAAATATTTTCAAATCAAATCCTCAAATCTATTCTATCTGATCCTAAAATCTAGGATTTTTTGGGGGGAAATTAGGATGTGTTTTTTATTCTTTATATACTTGTCATATAGCAAAGTGTAGAAAATTATCAAATTTAGAAAATTCTATATGATTATATGTTTATAAGTCAGAAGTTGCAAGTGTAGATTTAAAAGTAATGGCAGTATTTATTCAATAATAGACAATCGGCTGCAAAGCCAAAAACGAATTATTGCGATAAAGATATGCATATATCTCAAAAAACGTTAACTTTAGAAAATAATTTTTATACTATGAAATATCTCGCTATTTAAGTTCATGAAATAGAACATAAGTTTTTATTTTGTGCATTTATACAAAATTATAATTATAATTATAATTAAAGCAGTCTCGAGACAATTTAACAATTGTTGAATGTGATTTCTGCAATATTATTCTGCAGAAAAATATTTTGATAAAATGCATATAAATATACCTTTATATAAATTCGCTAAAGTTTATAACATAACAATGTATTAGTTAATATTTTAATATTTAATATTATAATGTATCAAAGAGAAAAATATCTCTATTGAAAATAGTGGCTAAAATATTGAAAATTGCATTCAAATAAAAGCTACAGATTTTGTGTGAAACTATTGTGTATAATCTGTGTGGAAAACGTATTATCAAGCAGAGTATTGAGTGTAGTCTTCCTACATTGCATTTAAAATTAATATTAAAATACATACTTTTTTGAAAACTGATACATATAGAAACTAGATATGCATATATGTATTAGTTTTTTATAAAACAGATAAATGTTTGATACAAGTGAAAATTATATTATTTATGACAAAATTTTACATTGTCATGACAAATTTGTAAACACACAGGTTAAATTATGAAATATAAATAATTTTACATTTTGTAGACAATTTTGTTCTTTATTTTTGATTGTTTAATTATATGTAACACGTGTTATTGCCATGATATAATTATACTTTATTCAGTTGCAAATCATTTTTTATTTTAAATAATCTTAAATGTCTGTTGTACAAAGAAAATATTTTATTTTTTTATTTATAAAGTATATTTATATTATACAAATATAATAATATCTGTGGATGTAACATTTGAATTACAAAAGCAGAATAATTTGAATGGTGTTTTATGGAGTTTCAATATATAATGTTGTTTTATGTTATCTATTCCACAATTTATTCATGTATTCATCAATAGAATTAAATACCTAGGAATTATTTCTCTAGTGGTGCATAATTGAGGAGCTTTTCAATTAAATCCACATGTCCAAGCAGCATTCTGCGACAGCAATATCTTTTCAGACCCAGTGCGTCCAAAGCATCTCTATAATAAATCCCTTGTATTATTGCATTTGTGTGAGTTTCTTTTTTCACGATTTTTTAATACAGTTATTATTTCTAAAGTAAAACAACAAACGACTTTTAGAAAGAACTATATGTGATGTAGTAAGATTAACAAGTTTTGGTTTTGAGGTTAGAAACAAAATCGAATATAGAAGTTACCCTTCAGTATATTCTGCTTGAAGAAGTCCCAAGTATGCTTCCCATTTGTTGCCAATCACCTTTCCGCAAGTGAAACATCTCACAGGGATAATCATTATATTTCTTTAATTTCTGGCTTGATTATTTGTTATCGATTTGTTTGTAGTAAAAAAGATTAGACACGTGATGTAGACCGCATGGCCAGAAGTGCTTTCTTGCATTTCTTGGGCTCCGTACGCAATAACGAAGAATCACATTCGTGTGCACTCGGTCGTTCGGCTAATAGAAGAGAGCAGGCTGTCTTCTCTCTCATTCCTATTGAGCCGACAACCGAGCAGGACAGCAAGACAATGTGTTTGCTTTTTGATACAATGCAGCGTTAAATTTTTTTTTGTTAAGTTTGTTCTTTCCGATTTTCAGCTTTCTTATATATCTATAAGCATATGTTTATCTAACATAAATTAAAATTAAAAAATATCTTTGTAATTAATATAATTTTTTAACATTTTTTAACATCTGTAAAATGTAATTTTTTATTGTTAATATGTAAAATAATAATATATAAATAAATTAATGTTTTTGAAATTGGAATTTTTATTTATGTTTATTCAACATCAATTTATGTTTAACAAAATTATTTTTTATCTACAAGAATACTTTTTTTGGCAATATCTCTGAAACTATTGATCGTATTGATAAATGTTTTACATAAAACTTACTCAATATTTATTATAGAATTAAATAACACTAACCAAATTTTTATTTTTGTTTTATTTAAAGTTTTTATGTATATTTTTGAAATATATAAACGTTATTATTAGATAATTACAATGTCTTTACGAAATTAACAATCTGACTATTAAATCAATAAGTTATCTTCTCGTTCTCTTCCATCTCTTATTTGTAAAATCGACAAGCATTCCCAGTCAACAAAATGTTAGCAGCCTGCTAGCAGTTTGCGAGCAGATTCGCTCAGAACTTGGCAGCAAATACGGTGCCATCTGTGTCCGCATTAAGCTCGTGTTCTGTCGACAGAAACTGTCGACATAGGTTGACAGCAGATTGGCGGCAGAAAACGAGCAGGATCTGCGCAATGTAATTTGATGTTAGATTGTCGGCAGAAATCGAGCAGAACCTGCCGTCACAATTTAAATGGAATAGCGGCATTTAAATGCTTCATTACAATTTTACATTTCTTGTTTCGCTTATTAAAAGTAGTAAATGAGGTATGTAAAGTATATAATATATATTTGCTTTATTGGGACAAAAAAAATACTTATGTTTTAATAAATTTATTAGGCAAAATCTCGAACTCACTGGAATATCGGGTCAACTCGCAGCGCATTTTCAATTTCAAAAATCAGTTTAATATTCTGAATCTCTTATGGGGATTGTATCAGATTATTGTATTAAACTGTTAAGCTTCATTAAGCCACTGGCCACACTTTATATGCACTGTAGATGAATTTTGAGTACGAGTTTATATATGAAGAAACACGCCGCATAGCGGTAATCAAATTGCATTGCGCAGATTTTGCTCGATTTCTGCCGCCAATCTGACATCAAACTGCATTATACAGATCCTGCTCGATTTCTGCCGTCAATCTGATATCAAACTGCGTTGCGCAGGTCCTGCTCGGTTTCTGCCGCCAATCTGCTGTAATAATTCCGAGCAAATCCTACTCGGTTTCTGCTACTGATCTGTTGTCAAATTATGTCAGAAGGTTTTGTAACATTTCTGCTGACATTCTGCTATCATCATCTGATGTAATAGATTTTGTATATTTGTATACAATCTGCAGTCTTTCTGCTGACAAAAATTTGTAGCAGACGTTTGGCAATATCTGTTCGAACAGACTTTGCTGACTGGGTTATTATGGACTATATCAATTTTAAAACGTTAATTTTTTTTATTAATCTTACAACAAATCTTGCTTCTAAATTATATTTGCTTTAAACCATATCTCATTGTAAATTATCAGAGTGCGTTTTCATATGTATTTTATTTATTTATCACTGAGGATAGGCTGATGACAGGTTGAAACGTCTGTTTACATTAATGTTTTTATAATACAATACAAGTTTGTTCGCACTAAAATCTAGCGGTTTGGCTCCTTTTGTCCCATTATTTTATAATTTTATTATTTGTTGAGGCTTATCATTTTTAACATTGATTATAAATTTTTTCTTAAAATGGCCTTTGCACGCAAGGCTATGTATGTATACACACACACAAAACACACGCACGCGCGTGCTTTATTATCATATCTACTAGTTTTTAATTTATTCTCTCCCTAAAGTTCTCCCATCGGCATTATTCCCTTCCTTTCCTTTTCCCGGACAGGTACGATTTCGTTTTCTCAAGTTTCTCACTCTTGTTCTTACTCTCGTCTTGAGATATCTACTATATGAAGAGTTTCGAGTTAGTGTTACATTTTACTTGTTTAACATGTTGGTTCCTTTTCTGAGAAGGTGGTCGATCATGCATAAAGGTATGGTATTTTTTGTTATATATATTTTTTCTTATTTCTTTCTTTTTTTGTTATTCTTTAATACATTTATTTTTGGCTTTTAATCAGTTTTCACAAAAAAATTTTATTATGAGGTTAACACAGACCTCATATCTATCAGGATGTCATGAGTTGTTTAACTATTTCATTTTTTATCAAGATATGATTTTCGCTTTTATTTAATAATTTTTAACAATTTTTGTTTTTTAATAATTCTGATACTCAATTCTTTGACTTACATTTTAAACTCATATTTATAAAATACATTTCTTTTCCAAATTCTAATTTGGTATTTTGACTTTTTTTCTTTTTATAATTATTAAAATTATTATAATTATTTTATAATTATATAAAAAGATTATTATACTAATATAAAAAAAAACTTTTCTTAACATAAATTTATTTTATATTATTTATATAATTTATATAAATATATTATTTATTAAACCTCCTACAGTTCATGTAACATCTTACAGTATGAGTGCTGTTTCAGCTTGGACGTTAATATATAAAAAATTTCATGTTTCTGCGCTCTAAGATTATCATAAAATTCGTAACGGCGATACTTTAGTTTTAAGTTGTTATCCCAGTAAACGAGAAAGTATTGAAAGTTCAGAAATGGAATTGAAAATCACTGAGAAGAATTCATTTACGATGATGCTGAATTCTATTTAATACTTTCAATACTTTCTCGTTTATTGGGATACGTATTGTATTTATTTATCTTTTTTCCTTTATACACTGGAGATAGCCTAAGCCGAAGGCCGAAACGTTTGTCTTATATTATATCTTGTAAATAAACATGTAGAGCAATAAGTTCTAGCTCAGACTCTTGTCAGCTTTTAATTTTTGAATAATTTTATTAATTGTTAAAGAGCCATTCCATTAATAATTAAAAAAAAAAGATTTTATTATAAGAATCTTTATATTTTAATGCTTCTTGTATTCGTCTTCGTTTTAGTTGTTTAGAATTTACTTATCCCGAAACTGCTAAAAGTGAAAAACATTTTAAACATATTTATTATCATGAAATCAAATAATTTTTTTCCAAATCTTGTAATGTCATGCATGTCTATGTCATGATGTCATGTATATTATTTTTAAAAGTGTCATAATAATTTCCCATCTAATAAAATATTCAAATATTTTTATATACCATCTCTATTGCCATTTTGAGTATTATTTTTCTGATTTTTATTAATACAAACATTTTTCTTTCAGTGAAATACTACTGCTTCAGTGAATGCTTGCTGCATTTTTCAATTTGAGAGCTCTAGGATATTCTGTCAAAGAATGGAAAATAACATAAAGACCAAAAAAAGATATTTAATTGGTAACGAGGTAACGAGTCTATTAGTGCTTCACAAAAATGTAGACTAAAAAAATGGACTAGAACATATCAAGACAATCAAACTTATTTATTATATAAATATTTTTAACGCGTTTTCAATTTTTTTATACAAATAATTTTAAGTTATTTTTCATGCCAATTTCCAGATCAGAGAAAAATATGAAAAAGCAGAGTTTTATAGTTTCACTACAAATGATTATAATATGAACGTTCATGCAGAAGCAGCATTTTCAACTGATAATAATGTAATAATTGAAGAAGTATGTAACATACTTTTATATTTTTATTATAAAAAATTTAAATACATACATATGATGTAACACATACAATTTATAATAGGTACATACATTTCTTAATTGTGTTTACAAATATAAAACTCTAAAGTTATTGTACTGATTACTTTAGGTATAATCGCAGAAGTCGAAAGTATTTTGTTCACCTGAAGAATTAAACACATTAAATGATGATGAATGTTTTAATGGCTTTGTTTCAGAAGAAAGCTAAAAATATTTTAGATTTAATATTAACCGCTAATTTTTCTCATAAACTACAGCTTCTGTTAGAACAAGTCCTGGTGAATTTATGTTAATGATACTTAAATTTAGTATTACACATATGCTATCTTTAACTGCGATTTGCAATTTGATAAGTTTGATTAATAATGTTTTTGAAATTCCTATATTACCAGAATCGTGTTATCTAATCGACAAACTCTTCAATTTTCAAGAAAAATTGATCCCGCACTGGTCTCAGGTACCATACAAGTCGACATCGGTGATTTCGTTCTGAATTTATCTTATGCGAGAATATTTAAAATTAAATCCAACCGAGAAATATGCCAGATATTAAAGTAATATCTCCGTGTCTTGATCCGAGTCTTAATTGTCGTTTCGTGTATTGTATTCTGGATAACGCTTGCCTGAATAAGAATACTGGGACGATATTGTGTCTTAATTGTTATCACGATTTATCAGAATCAACGCGTAATAATTTCGAGCACGTCCTCGGACATCATTTAAACATTGGTTCTATTATTCCATTGGCAAAGTGTCGTGTTTGTGGCCAAAACGTATCTCAGCCTTTTCCAGTGCGTCAGTGCCTTGCGTGTTTTAACCATTTCGTAAATTTAATAAATCAATTAACTCGAGCAGGACAAAGTATTGTTAATCTTTCTGATCCTACCAGCGTTTTAATTGGCGGAGAGCCGGGGGTACGTTCTCTGGTTATAGCCAGTCTATTGAATTAATCGTTTAATTAATCAATCACTAAATTAATTGATATGTGTGTGAGGAAACGTCGTGCTTGTCGGTCACCGCGGTTAGAATATTGTTATAGATATTCTTTAGCTAGTTGCGTTCGCGAAAACAGTTACGTGA